TGAGAAGTAGAAGAGTCGTATATATGATTTCCATATTTATGTCTTGACCCTTGAGTCGAGTTGTTCATGCCCATAACTTTTGCATGAATTCCATAAATGATGTATCATTAAGAGAACTAGGATCTTGAAGTTCTATGTCATGTGTATTGTGTTTATAATCACCTTTGAGATTATATTTATAATAATGAGATTATGACAGGTTACCCATGAAGTCCTTGAGATAATTTTTCATGCCCATAATTCAGCAAGAACCTAATAAGTCTAGTAGTCTTGAGATGAGAAGTATCATTGAGTCCTTGAGTTGAGTAGCTGATGCTCGTACATCTGCATAAACCCTCTGAGTTATTCATTCTTGAAATAAGAAGTATCATTGATGTTTTTTAGTTCCATGTATTAATTTTCATTTGTGGTTATTGAAAACCTTTTATTGAGTCCTTCAGGTAAATATTTCAGCATGAACCGTGTATTAAGAAGTCTTGTACAAATGTTTTAACTTTGTTTTAATACTTCAGCATTGAGTTGTGTAAGAGTAAAAATTAAGTTCAGTTTCTTCTGTAGAGTAAATGGTACATAAATATTTCTAAAGATAAAATATTCTCACATTTAAATAACAAAGGGAAATACGATTTCCAAAGAGCCTTTGAGCTAGTATTTCGGTTAAAGAGTACGCATTTTCATGAATAAGCAAGACTTTTATTTCCAAGATAGACTTTTAGACAAGTTTTGAGAAATTACTTCAAATCACATAAAGAAGTATATTTTTGAACATAAGTGCTAGTAGCATATTCTGAGAGTAGTATTGAATAACGATATATGGCAGCATTCTGACAACTCACAACCCCCATAAATCCTGTAGCCACCATGGGTAGAAAAGGTCCATACTTTTTAGATGATTCCTTAGTGCTTTTTACCATACACTAGTGTATCCACTTAGTAGTTAAGGTTGTATATTCATTTCAAGGTATTGGACGACCCTGAAAGCGTTAAGAAAAATGATAATTCATAACAATAACTCTTAAATGATGGTTGTCGGTTAGAGAAACTCCCACGATAGTATTTTGTAGTTTTATATACATCACAGAGATTTGCATTTTAATTTACAAACAAAGTTTATATTGTATCCTTGCGTACAAACTAAGTATACTGTATTTCTAAATACACCGAGGGGCTTTCTATTGTTTTTAAAAATTTTCAATATATGCATCTATTATTGTAGCTTTGTGGTGAGTTGAATATCTTATTATTGAGTTGAACCGTATTTCGTTGAGTTGAGTATTTAATATTTGAGTTGACTATCTTATTCATGAGTTTAGTTGAGTTAGTTCAAAAGAGGTAAGTATGTTTCCTTTTTATCAAGTTCAAGTTTATGTTATGCTTTAAAATTCCCCTTAAATGTACGTACGCTCCATGTACTGAGCAATTTATCCTACATCTTTTTATTTAAGCAAATTATGATATTATGGATCATTATTGGAAGCTTTGTGGAAATCACATGGAATTCGACTTAGCTATGGTGACCCTCCTTGCTTTTGGGTGATTTCATTTACATTTCAGTTATATAAGTTGTTAGGATGTCCTGAGTCTTGTCTTGACTTTCACCTCTGTCAGTTAGGGACTTCAAGATAGACGACAAATTATTTTTTTAAAAAAAAATGTTTTAATGACTTAAGTTTCATATTTAATGAATAGTTGAGTAACTTACTTTTATTCTGAGTTTTCGATCAGATTTAAAGCTTTGTGTTTGATCATTCATGAATATTTATTCAGTTCTAAGCTTTGTATTCTTGAGTTAGTCTTTTGCTTATAGTCATCCAAGATGAGGGTTCGCTTGCGGATCAACAATTGTTCTTGGGTACTGACCACGTCCAAGGTGTAGGCTCGGGTCATGAAAATATACAAGTATTATAAAAAGACGATAAATATGAAAGGTCACCTTACAAACTGATGTGGTGTCAAAAAGGAATAGCAGAATCAGTTATCCACATCAAAATCTTATTTTTCTTAAAGATCGTGCTATGCCAACCGAAGGATGATTTCTGTAAAAAAATTTCCTTCCATCTAAACTATAATCCTAAAAATTATACTACATTCTTTGAAAATTGGCAGTACTTGATATGAATTAATACAAATATATTGTTGTAATGCAATGAAACTCGAAGAACAAAAGGTAGAAAATTTTCTAAAATATCTTATAAATTAAGTGGTGTTTTATTTAGACTAGATAAAATGAAGTGGTCGTACTACTATAATGTATTACTCGAAAAAGTACTTCACTTTTTATTTTTATAGGTTTGTCCTTAAGAATTACAATAAGAGTAGATGAAAAAACTTGATTACAATATTATTTATTTATTGCTCCATAAAGTATCATTCACTATTTAAATGTTTATGTTGAAGATGTATGTCTATAGTAAGATATATATCATATATTTATACCAAAATTATATAGGATGAATAACGTATAAAATTAAAAATTTGCAGACAAAGTTTTTTAATCTGCACATTTCTATTTTATTGTTTAAGAAATAAGTTAGTCTGATGGTGTATAAAAGTATGTTTTTTATGATTATTTGAATCAACTTTTTAACTTAATGATTTCTTGCTTAATCACTCTTTTATATAATTTAAATATTATTTTTAAATTAGATATTTAATTAGGAATTCATTGAGATAAGTGAAAAGGTCAATACATATTCATGTAATTAAAATGATATAATATTTATAAAGAGGGACCTAAAATGCTCTCAACTATTTGAAATGGTGCAATATTACCCTCCATTCAACTTTCGTTCTTCAAATACCCTTGACGTCAAACTTTGGGCAAAAACCAACCTTTATTTCTTATTGCTCGCACTCATAAGGTTGATGAAGAGTAAATTGTTACACGGTCTCATAGTTTTAGCGCAATTTAGGCCCTCCTTTATTAAAAGAATTTGGAATTACTAATATATTGGACTATATATTTGGCCTTATTTTAAATTTCATGGTATTTTTTGTTCTTGGATCTTATCCACCATGTTAAATTTAAGATCTTTTAAATCTAATAATAAAATAAAAATGGAGAAAATTACAATGAGTATCATTTATGAATGGTTAGTTCAATAGAAGATGATTTTAATTAAGCAACAATGTATGTATATTATAAATTTTCTATTGCATGTATAAAAAAATCAAAATAAATACATGAATATAAACTCTTTCGCTGTTCCAACAAATCATGAAAATAATAAAAATTCAAACAATATGAACAAGTAAGTTCACTTCGAGGTTGAATCCTTGATATCTTTTATTAATTGAAAATAAAAAATGAAAAATAAAATAAAATGAGGAATATGAACAAGAGACCTAGATAACTGATAGAAAATATAATATTAATAAAAAAAATATTAATCATTTGTAAAATTGACAATCAAACAATACAAGATCAATTTTAGTTAGATACCCAAATATGATCTAGGTAGTAAGTTATGGGTTGATATAAAATATGTCAATGCAAAGATATCATGAAATTAATATTTTTAATATTTGTTTCAAGCTTATTTGCTCATAATATGAATCATAGGTAGTTTCATTATTTATTTGAGAAGGATTTGAATTAAGACAAATTTTACAACATAATTAAAAAATATTTAATAATTTAACTTTAGACGACTTGTCAAAAATAAGATAAAATATGAACTAAAGGTTTGCATCGAGGATATTATTGAGGCAAAAGGTTAACTTTAGAGATAATTGAAGGTCTAAAGAGGGATAAAGGTAAAAAGGGTTTTTAATTTGAGCAAAAATGTTAAAAGATTCATTAGTTAAATTTATAATATTTAATATATAGAGGGGCAAAATCATAATCAAACAGTGGCTTCTTGCTAAAAAAATAATTGGAGCCGAAGGTTTAAATCAGTGGCACGTAGAAATATGCCAAATCATTTTTATAACGATAGTGTCTAGACAAGCTTGCACATTCCATTGTGCACTTTAACATCCCATCAGCATGGGGTAATTTTTTAATATACATTTAGACAAATTGGAATCATCTGGTGCCTTTTACATCCAACTTAGATTTTGAACTTGCAAGGTAGCAGAGTTAGATGTAATAATCCAGAAAAAACCTTCATGAAAACCATCATTTAAAAGGAAGGATTAAAAGAATCCTATATGACATTAGAAATAGTGTATGATATGAACTGCAACAAGATTAGTTAATAATAACAAATTGAGCACCGAACCATGATTCTAAATGGATGAAAGATACAATATTAAAAATCATCATTAGTAAATATTGTTGCCAATCAAGCCCAAAACAATAGTGGTAATATATAGGTATATTAGCCTAATAGATATGCTCCAGTAAATGCATGTTGTATTACTAAAGGTATAAAACCAACAAGACATACTATTTTCTTTATTAAGTTCTATTTCCACCTTATGTTTTATTGACCATACTAATTCTAGATGATCAGTGCAAAATAAAAATAAAAACAAGATATTCAAAATATATGAAAAAATGCTTAAATCTAAACATGGAAATCACACACAACCATAATCAAGCAGATTGACTCTCATAAATATGAAAACAAAAAGATGAAGCAACAGACCACAAGAAAAGGACACCCTATAAGAATCAAGAAAGAATGGTTTGTTTTGTTGCAACAAGTGTTTTTGTTATTTTTGGACAATGTGAATCAGTGAAATAGACAAAACTTACAATGAACAAATGTTTGTATTTGTATCATAAAATAAACAATAGTTAAAATAAGATAAACACAATTTCACACATTAAAAAAACTTGCTTAGGTACAGATATTCAGGTCAAAGTGACAGATCAACCAAATAAAATAATGACAAGGGAGCGAAGTTACAAATGTCATTCACACAAATTTTCTTTTTAATGCACCTTGAATGAATATTCCTTTTGTAAGCTTATATGATTATCAAATTGGTCATTCCAGTAACTATAAACCTCAAATTGGAAAAAGATTAAATCATAAGGAAACAAAGTGAAATTCATCAACTAGCTATAACTTTTCCTTTATTGATTCTATACGATGCAACAACTCTTTTACATTCATTTTTGTGAGCCACCCAAAATACATATGCCAACATTCAACATCTTTTCGATGTCAACACGAGAATTAAGAAATTTGTAAATTCATTAAAGCTGCACTACTTGTGAAACAAAATGCGTATTTTTATCATAGTATTGAAAAAAATACTCTGGATCCAAATTGATGCTTCATTTGAATGTCCCATCCATGTAAACTTGTTGAGCCTAGTCTAGATGGGAAACATGCCCACATATGTAGCCATCCACTGTTGCCTCACATCTATTATAAATGTAGCATCTTAGTCTAAATTGATAAGCTTACAACTAAGGTTACAACAATAGTCTTTGAAAAACTAGGCACAATGCAGCAAATAAAAAAAAGCATGGTCTCTAGAAAAGGCTAACATTGGTCCTACACTTTTCGGGCATGCTTGAATTTTGTGCTAATTTGGATCTTCCTCCTTTTTTAACAAATTTTTTGGTTTTGAGACGTAGAAGCTAATAACTACAAGGGAGATCGATTAGCTATGGAAGGTGGTGGTGGTACACCTTCCCTTCTTGTTCGTAATCCACTTCCATCATCTCGTGGGAAAGAGCTAGCACCAAATGAAAGATCTATGGCATTTATGTCGATGCATCGTGAAATACTACATCTACCTCCTGGTGCATTTAATACCTTTTAAATACAGGGACTTCCTCCGTACTTCTTGAGAAGAGAAGTTACTCATGTCCTTTGAGATGTAATTTACTGAATCATTATATTTTATGCTTGTTCTCAAATATCTATAAAGTGTAGTAGGGAAAAAGCAACAAATATGTTCAGAAACTAAAAATTATTCAGTAAATGACATATAAATAAATATGAGCTACTTCTCTTCTGGAGTTGTCCGCTGGAAGTCCCTCTATATAAAGTGTTTTAGGATAACAAGGAGGGAGAGGTAGTATTACATGATCCCTTGACAGAAATATCATAGCTCTTCCGTTTGGTGCTAGCTCTAGCCCACGAGTTGATGCAAGTGGATCACAAACTAGGAGGGAAGGTTTACCACTACCACCTGCTCTATCTAATCCAACTCCGAAGTATTTATTAAAATCAAACTCTGTAGTATTTATTAACTTCTATGTTTGGAAAAGAAGAAATTTTCTACAAGAGGAAGAATAATCAAACCTTAATTGAAATTTTCGCAAAATTCAAGCATGCCTGAGGAATGTAGAAGAAGTATCAAATTCATCTTCAGGTTTACCAAACTTACCTTGAGTGACTATCAAACCTCTACAACATATGTGACCATCATTATAAGTAGCTCTGGTAGGAGAATAAGACAGTATAGGGTTAATTTGGTCTCGACAGATGTAGTCATATGTTTTATTTCTTAATTAAATTAAATATGTATATAAAAGAATGAAGTTCTTGTTTAATTGATGCAAATAACCGAATATATCTCTACATGATATATACCAAAGAGCCTTATCGAAGATAACCTTTCTGGCTCTTTGAGTGCATAGAGGGAATCACCTAGCTGATTGAAGCCAATAATTTGTTGATATTCATACGAGGATACTAAGAGTTGAAATACTTTTTCACTGAAATCTTACTTCTAAAAGCATTTTTCGGTCCATCTTTTGGAGCCTGAAAACGCTCTAGAAGATATAAATATCTATCCTTCAAGGTGCCTAAACCTGTAGCTCTTTGTCCAGCCTCCCAACTGCACTTATCATCCACATTTGGCAATTCTACAAGAGACTATGATAAACCTTCGCCAGATTCAAACTCTTATACAGGATAAACTTGAAGCCCAATGCAATTTATTCTAGATGCACTCCCATTATATACAACAAGTGTACGAATCTCACCCTCCTCCTCTGTTGCTGAATTTAGCTAGAAATATCTAAATGTATTGACACGAATGAAACCATAGAAAATTAAATAAGAAACTTCAGAAGTCCACATTAGAAAGTCACAATGCTTCAGAAAAGTCATAGTTTTATTATAAAAAAAATGTAACTATTCATAGAAGTCACAACTCTTAAGACTTGTAATAACTCTTCATAAAAGTCATAACTATTCAAAAAAGGTTCACAACTTTTCATAAAAGTAGAAAATCTTAAGAATTACTCAGAACATTAACTAAAATGTGGATTTGAAGGGTTATTTATTTATAGATACTACAACATGACAATCCTAATATGCTATTCAATCCTTTGGATAGGTAAAAATCTAAGGTTCGGATGAAATGTCATAAAAATCTCAATCTCACATACTTATATTTATCTTTCGAAACTATGTCATTAGAAATCCAATCTACAGGAGGAAAATGGTTAACTAATATTTGTTGTACACATTATTATTATGTTTTTAATTTAGTTCACCTCTAATTTTAGAAGAAAACAATCAGCCTTGCCATATATTTAATTAAACTTATTACTATTTATAGGAGAAATCTTAATTTAGAATAGATAGGTAGCAGTTACAACTATTATTATGTGGCGGAACTAGGTAATTGCAATGTTGTCAATTAGAAACCTTTCGCTAAAAAATTATAATGTGCAATTAAGGCAAACATAATATTCCTAGTTATATGAAAAATGTTGAATCCCCTTGACATAAGGGTAGATACTATTATAGTGGCAAATGAAATTAAAAATCTATTTTGATCATATATTCAAGTCATAGGTTTACAATCTTGTATTTATCTCCATCAACCACTGTTGTATTTACATCTGGGAGTCCTATTTAAACAATCTACGACCTACAGATCAATTGTTTAGAAATAACAATTAGAACTTGATACGTTCTATAAATTATTTTGGGTCATGGGTTGTTCAATTGGATCGGACCCGACCCAATATAGATTTTGAAAAAGAAGCTATATATTATTTTGAAAAGATGGAAACAGTTACATTGTTTAACCGTAACATACAATTCATTTAAAATAGTTCTTCATACTTGAAGAAAGACATAAATATCATAAACCAAAAAATAAAGAAAAAGAAAAATGACAGACCATTTATTTTTTTAACATTGACATCAAACAATCCAAAAGGATACTTAATTCATGTCATTGCACTTTCTTTTCTTTAGATTCAAAGTCCGAATCAGAGCAACTCCTCAACGAAAATATCATTTATAAGTTTTAGGCTATGGTTAAAAGATACACAATGTTATTCCTCTTACTGTTCATAATTACATTGGTATCAGAGAGATGTTAATTGTTCCATACGTAAGATGTTTTTTCTTGAAATAAATCGTATTTAAGTGTTTTTTTTAAAAAAAATTCTTATAGGAAAACATAATTTTGATCTAGAGAATAAAAATTCTGCGAATTTAAAAATAATATTTATTCTTACCTTTAAGACATATAAGTAGATAAAATCAAATTGGATGTAGATCCGATGAGAATTGAACTCGCCATCTTTTGATGTAAAATTAGATGTGTTACGATTATTCCATTGATCTGATTTGTAAACGACTAATATATTTATTTTCTCCGTTGTTCATTTGAACAACATGCCTTGAAAAAAATTGTTTCTCCATAGTTTTGTGGGTTTGCTTTTTTTTTTTTTAGGAATTTGAGGATTTATTTTTCTTTATTATGAAAAAGATGATTGTTCTAATGTAAACTGAAAGAAGAAATAATATTCCAGTACAATATCTTTCTTGAAGAGTTGAAAGGGTTTGCAGTACATCAATGATTTTTTTTAAAAAAAAATAAAAAGGGAAAGGTTTTATGCATTTTTTTAATGTTTAAAAAGAATTTAGTGCAGTACTAGTACTAAAGAAGTGTAGTACAAGTTATACTATTACTATTTTTTTTTAATATGTGAAAAGGTGAAGTCCTCTATTGCATATCTTTTGTTGGATAAAAGATTAATATTGTGTTTATTTTTAAAGTAGTCATGTTATATTTTTTTGAAGAATTATACATATAATAAGCATGTCAATAACATTGGTCTTCATAAATTCATTTAGTCCTTGTGCTCTATAAACATTTTTTTATCTTCTACAAATGATAGTGGCATATATTGCCACATTTAATTGTTCAGCAATTCATATTGTTTTCTTCTTCATATTTCTCACATGGATTATCATGAACAAACTTGAATTATTTCCAGTGGAAATCTTGAAGTCTAGTAAAGGGAGAATGTTTCAGCACCTGATTTTATTTACCTCTTTGAATTGATGTGCGTTGAACTGGCTGGATTTGTTCAAATTTCAAAGTAGAGAGTCTTACATTATTTAACATACACTCTCCATGAACCTTGGATTAATAGATTGACTATTCGTTATGATTACACTTGATCTTGCCAGCTATTCAGGGTTCATTTTATTACCATTAAGACTTGTGAGAGGATTTTAGATTTAGATGACTTGTTATATGTATTGCTTTTTCGAATTACCATATATAAATTACATATTTTGATTTTTTCCAATTTATCTTATTAGACATAAAAATCTTTGTTATTAAAGTCTTAAATATATTGGTATACGCATTAAGATATTATTTCAAAATTTGGTTGAATATTGAATTTGTAGATAATTATTGTATTCTTGTATATCTTTTAGATTTTACATTGAATATAAAACCTTAATGAGAATTGATTTGAATTAATGTGTGTGTCATATGCATGAAAGATTAAAAATTCTTGCCTTAGTATACCTCAACCTATATGCATGACATAAAAAAATTTTAATTGATGACTAAAACAAATGTGAAAAGCTGAATGGTGACAATAATGACATTTGGAATCGTAAATATGGTACATACCGAAAGAGAAAAATGGTCTCCTCAATCAAACAAAATCAACCAAAATAGGGTAACACTGAACACTATAGAGGGATCTTGAAGTTTGTAAGGCTTGGAGAAAGGCTAATCCTGCTTCCCGTTGAATACTAGCTAGTTCTGTGGTTGATGACCTCATACATTAATTTGATAAAATGCATACTCCTCATATTATGTGGGCACATCTACGAGGAACGAATTGGGTACGTCTGTGACCCACCTCCAATAATTGACTATGAAATCTAACACTTAGAAGAAGCTTCATGATCAAAATATCAAATAACACCTTACGATGATGTCTAACATGACCGCTCAACTCAAAAGTATTGGTCATGTTCTTTAAGATGACAAATAAGTCCAGGCAGTGATTCAGTTAGTTACCAATTATTGGAACATTTGAAGGTAAACGTAAAAAAAATTATAGCATCAAAACATTTTTGATGTTGCCCACTATGTTAACGCTAAAGATGAGCATTTTTGTGATACTAAAGCTTCTTATAATATGTTCATGCCAGAGTCAAGTAGTATAGAATCTTCAGGATTATAAAATGCAAGAAAGATTGGAAAATAACCGACGAAGACAAAAACACTGGAGAAGTACCTTCTAAGAAAAAGAAAAACCTAAATTCCAAGGAATTAAAAAGGTTACTCCAAAAAAGAGACAAGATAAAAATAGAGTGCTATAATTGCAAAGTGCTGGGGTATTTTGATTGTGAAAGTATTGAGACAAAAAAGGTACTATTGTTAGTGCATCTCTGAGTACTACATGTATTTCTAGCACTTTTTTACTAACTGAATCTTATCACATATCGATTATCGACTCAAGATCTACCGACCACATGAGTTGAGGTAGAGAAGAGTTTCGGGATTTTCATCGAGTTTCATATAAATTAAAGTGGATCTGTGTAGGAAATAATGTTGAAGTTTAAGTCAAAAGGATCAAAACATGCAAAGTGACCTTGTACGGTGTCTGTTCTTTGATTTTGCATGAAATCCTATATACTCCAGAGATTCGACGAAACTTAGTAACATTTAGTTGTAATAATTTTAGAATAGCTCTAGATAATGTTTTTATGGTTTTGGACTTTTTATGATCGTTTTATCGTCATAGATTGTAATCCTCGAACTTATGACTACTATATTGATTGTTATGTAATGACATGTTATTTAACTAATAATGATGTTGATGTTATTAAATGGCATGCAAGATTAGGTCATATAGCGAAAGATTGAATGAATAGGTTTGCAAAGGGGAAGGAAATTTAAGTTCTTTCACCAAAATTGATACGCCAACTTGTGAAACTATCTTGTTGGAAAGGTTACACGTAAACCATTTGAGAATACTAAAAGAGTTGAGTGCCTACTTCAAGTAATCCAGTATGATATTTGTTGTTAAATAAATATGAGGGCACAATGTGGTTCTACATATTTCCTAATATTTACTGATGATTTAACGTAATTTGGTTGTGCCCATTTGATTTTTCATAAATCTAAGTTAATAGACATAAATTCACCCCTAAAGTTGTCCCGTATTTGCCTAAAGATACCTTAACATTGGTAGTGTTCTATTACCCCATGAAACTGTTTAATATCTTTGTAAATGAGTCATTTTGACCCATTATTCCTCTGGGTTGTCATTATATTTCTTTATTATTTACTATTTAATTAATTTACATCATCTTCCCATTATCTTCTTCTCCCAAATTCAAAAATCCAATTACCTTTTATTCATCTTCTTCAACTTAGAAGATCCATTTACTTAATCCATTTTTATCACCTTTTCGTTGTCTCTTGCTTTTATTTGTTTCTTTTTTGTTTTACCTTTATTTTTTTAATAACTCCATTGGTTAGAGAATACTATGAAACTCCATCTTTTTTTGGTCCCATTAACTTCCTTTAGTAACTTGCGACCTTGCTTTATTAACTTGCTAGTTGAATTGATTTTATTTTGTGATGTTTTGGTGATTAAAATAGTGTTGTAACATGGAAGCATCATAGAGGCTACATTGAAGGTCACTATGACTGCTACTTTTGGAGGATTTACAACAAAGAACAATGTATTTGAGTAATAAAGATTTAAGAATAACGAGGTAAAAAATGAAAATAAAGTTAATAAAATGAAATCAAAATGAAACTAAAAATTAAAAATTAAAAGAACTTAATACGTGTCAAAAAGCTATTGGTGCATGATTGCACCTTTTTTCTTGCAATTGGGGTTGGTTGAAAAGTTTGATATTTGTAACATTCTTGAATTGTTTAATGGGGAAATAGGACACCTATAAAGTTACGGTGTCTTGTTAAAATTCTACAGAACTTCATGGTGACTTTATGACTTTTCTCTAAATCTAAAGCACTTGAGTGCTTTGATTTTATATATTTTAAGTAGAGTCAATTCGATAAAATATAAAGACTTACGGAAATGGTCGATGACATGAATATTTTTCAAAATAGTTTGAAAAAATATGTAAGGCAATTAACTTAACCTTTTGCACCTCAACAAAATGGTGTACTTCAACTATTGAATAAAACATTACAGGACATGACAAGATGAATAATGGCGCAGATAAATTTTTTTATCTCTTTTGAGGGAGATGAATTATTGATCACGACCTACATATTGAACAAAGTGTCATCTAAATCACTATATTTCACTCTTTATAAACATTGGACTGGTCATAAAACAATCGTGATCTACAATCGTTGAGTTGTGTAATATATTTTAATGATCGTTTTTATTAAATTAGTAAACTAGTCCAAATTAAAGAAAAGATATATCTATATATATATAAATTTATATTTATATTTATAAGATACTTTGAACACTCCAAAAGTATGTATTCATTGAGGAATTGCATGATGAAAGTATTATTGAAATTGTATCATGAAATGTTAGATTTTTGCATACAATTTTCCCAAAATAGATGAATTAGATGAAAGTGAACCTCTATACGAAATGTTCAATTCAAAAGACTAAGTAATGTTGTCAATCATACTGGGTAACTCAATGGACCAAGTAATAATTTCTTATCTATGTATGAGTTTTGAATAAAATAAATACTATAAAAGAATGTAAACTTGAATTACATATGTATACAAGAAATTGTGTACCTAAACGATCTTATAAGATTAAGGATTATGTTTTCTTGGTATCTCTTACAGAGATGGATAAATCTAATTATGTAAGTGCGTCTTTATGAAGCCCTATAAAGGATGAATGCTTACAAACAGATAAAAAAGAATTAGAGTGCATGAAAACCAACAAAGACTGGGATCTTGTTGACTTTTGTAAGGAATATAAAATTATTGAGAATAAAGGGATTCTCAAAGTTAAACACAAATTCGATGGTTCAATTGAAAGATACAAAGCATGATTAGTGGTAAAGGATTTTAATCAAGAAGCTAGAATAGAAAGTTTTTCACCAATTATGAAGTTTACCTCCATACAATTACTTTTATATATTGGTTCATTTTTGGATATAAAATTACACCAGATATACGTGAATACCATTTTTTTAAATGGAGAACTAAACGAACAACCCGTAGGTTATATTATTAAAGACCAAGAAAAAAAACATAACCTGGTAGAAAACACAATTATATAATGTACCTGCATTTTATAAAAAAATTTCTAAAATATAATTACAAGTTAAAAGATAAATATAACATATGATTTTGCGAGTAGAAAAGAGTATTATTAAAACTAGTATTTTATATGGATGAAATATATATATATATTTATATATCTCATTATGAAGGTGGTTAAATGTATGTATTCATGGATATACGAAACCAACATTGCATTTTTGTAATAATGGTTGAAAGTTGTCAAACTATTGAAACACATGGGATAAGGAAATTGAAATAACACTAAGAATGTGGATAAGTTTTGTTAAGTCATTTAAGTTTATCACAAAGAATTTTTATAGGCTTCATTCAGTCATTTAAATTTAGTCTTCTTTTGAATGATAATTAAAATATTATTATTGAAAAGATTAGTTGATATTCTAAATGTAATTTTGACTAACTTCAGAGGAAAAATTTTAATCCATCTTTGGAGTTAGGTATTAAATACTATTGCAATCTATAACTGCTGGACCATTCTTCTGTAGGTGTCACGACCCAGACCGTCGTGCTTGACATACACCCTAACCCTTCGCTGGGAGAACCATTACTACAACCCAGGCTAAACAAATTAACCAAAATGTATGCATTTAAAGATACAGAAGCAAGTTTAATGAAAACAAAAATATGGAGTTCCCATAAATCAAAAGGTTTAAAGAAATAACTAAACCAAAACTAATGCGGAAGAACAACCCCTAAATCCTAAAAGTCATGTACAAAAAATTTACTAGTGAAAAGTCTAAGAGAAAGGGGTACAACCCTGAAACTAAAAAATAACCTTAAACAAATAGTCTATGTCTGAAGAGCATCGAATTAAACAAGAAAGATCCATGACAGTGTGAAATAACTGTCTCACCCTTGAATCTGGTCACGCTCAATGCTCACCGAAGTGAGTTGTATCAATAGCCACCTGAAGATTCCCTTTGCTTAATAAAAAACAAGCACCACAATATTGGT